TGGACTCAGCCACTTTGGGCCCAGGTTTTCCTGCAGCTAGGACATCCGGGCCATGCTTCTCTGATAGTGATAGACCCTCTGTTATTTGAGCTCTCCAACATTTTTGAACACTCTCCTATATTTTGATATTTTGATATTTTGATTGTATACACATTGTAAGTACCTCCTTCCCAAGGTAGAATCCAGAAAACTTTCTTTTCCAGTCTCCCTTTCAGGAACAGGTAGATAAGTGACTTAGACTGTACCAGTGAGATGAACCCTCATGAGCCTTTGATTCAAAAGCCAACAATGAGTGGGAGAGAGTCCTACACGTGGGCTCCATCTTGCTGAAACAAGGCAGAAGCAAGAATCCACCTGCCAATGCAGGGGACACGGCTTTGAGCCCTGGTCTGGAAGATCCCACATGCCACGGAGCAACTAAGCCCATGAACCACAACTACTGACACTGCGCTCTAGAGCCTGCGAGCCACAACTACTGAGCCTGCGTGCCACAACTACTGAAGCCTGTGCGCCTAGAGCCCGTGCTCCACAACAAGAGAAGCCACCGCAATGAGAAGCTCGCACACCGAAATGAAGAGTAGCCCCCACTCGCCATAACTAGAGAAAGCCCGCGTGCAGTAATGAAAACCCAATGCAGCCAAAAATAAATAAATAAATAAATTTAAAAAATAATAAATAAATAAAATACATTATTTAAAAAAATGATGATGCAGTAAGACTGAACAATGACACAGAGAGATGTTTGTGGCATGTGGCCAGTTGAAAAATGCAGGTTATAAAACAATATATTCAGTATTATTCCAATTATGTTTAAAAGCATTTATACATTCATGGGGAAAAATGGAAGAAAGGTTAATAGTGATTATCACCGAGTGGTCGGATTATAAGGGGTTATTTTTTCTTTTCTTTGAATTTACCAAATTTGCTACAATGAATAGACATTTTTGCAACAAGAAAAAAATCTATTATAAAAAGAAGTATTTCCAGAGCTCTCTCTTGGTTCAGAAAGGGTTGGGATGTTTGAGAGGGAGAAGCATGTCATGGGAAGATCATGACAGAAATCAGAATGATGTCCCCTCCTACATGGCATGAACTACAAGGTGTGAGTAGAGGGTCAGTGCTACTGGACTTCTCACATCCTGACCTGTGGTCTCTTGGCATCTGCCCCAGTCCTCCCCTTCTCTGGTGGCCATTAGAAGTCCACATGGTCAGGACTGGAGGTGGCCATGTGGACCTTAAGAGTGACCCATGGCAGCCCAGGAAGATGTTATAGAGGGTAGGAGGTGGACAGAGGCAGACCTTTTTAGAGGTGGTGGAAGGAGGAGCTATCGAGGAGGGGCCAGTGCTGGGAAGTCAAAGGAGAAGTGAATTTTCAGAACAGGATGGTACATCTCCTGGATGGAGTCAGGCTGCTTCCCAGTCTCAGAGCTTCTTACAGGGAACCAAAAAATCAATGCCCAAGACACTGCCCACATGGGCTCAGACCCACAGATAACAAAAAACAGTGCTTTGAGAGGGTACCCTCAGGGCCAGGAGAGAAACAAGAGCACAACACAAACCACTTCAAAGATTAGGACTGACATATATACACTACCATGTGTAAAAGAGATAGCTAGTGGGAACCTGCTGTACAGCACAGGGAGCTCAGCTCAGTGCTCTGTGATGACCTAGCTGGGTGGGATGGGGATGGGGGGGGGTGGGGGGGAGGTCCAAGTGGGAGAGGATATAGGTATGCATATAGCCGATTCACTTTGTTGTACAGTGGAAACAAATACAACATTGTAAAGCAATTATATGCCAATTAAAAAAAATAGGTGGGGAAAAAACTACTGGCTAGAAATCTCCTAGAAGGCACCAGAAAGGTGCAGAAGGGGGCTGCCAAAAAAAAAAAAAAACCCAAGGACCTGTGGCTGACTCCCCAGAAGAGCCACCTAAGTGGGAGCTCAACACATCTGAGCCAGCTGTCCCGTCCTCCCTAATCCCACAGAGGCCCAGGGAGGAGCAGGGACTTGCTCGAGGTCACACAGAAAATTAAGACAAAGACCAAAACACGGACATTCTGACTCCCAGTCTAACGTGCTTATCCATTACCCCCTAAGGAGAATTTTATTTAATTTGAAGACATAAATAATCACTATATTATATAAAGTATTTGAAACCATATAAAAACATTATTTGTCATCTAATTCAATTTATGAAGTAAATATAGACAGAATTCCAAAAGTTGATGTGACATCAAACTTTTAAACAATTAAAAATAGATAGGTCTCTAGTGAGTATCACAAAACAGAAGCAGACTCACAGATATAGAGAACAAACTAGTGGTTACTAGTGGGGAGAGGGAATGGGGAGGAAATACAGGGGTAAGGGATTAAGAGGTACAAACTATTAGCTATAAAATAAGCTATAAGAATATATTGTACAACATGGGGAATATAGCCAATATTTTATAATAACTATAAATGGAATATAAACTTTAAAAATTGTGAATTACTATATTGTACACATTTTACTTTATAATATTGTACATCAACTATACTTCAATTAAAAAATAATAATAAATTTAAAAAAAAAAAAGATAGGTCAGGGACTTCCCTGGTGGTCCAGTGGGTAAGACTCTGCTCCCAATGCAGGGGGCCTGGGTTTGATCCCTGGTCGGGGAACTAGATCACACTTGCATGCCGCAACTAAAGATCCCGCATGCTGCAACAAAGATCCCACGTGCTGCAACTAAGACCTGGCACAGCCAAAATAAATAAAAATAAATAAATAAATACGTTTTTAAAATAGGCCAATATCAGATATAAATATGGGCACCAAATACATCCTAAATAAAATGTTAACTGATGATTAAATATGTAACTTGAATTTCCACTAACATAAAATACAATCTATCTCCAGTGTACCAGGCTGATATGGAACAAGCAGTCAGGGCAGTACCTAAAGATTTGTTGAGCATTATCCAGGTGTAATTACACAATGAGCTCATGTTCTACCCTTAGCAACTCTAAGATATAAGGATGCTAGGATTATCTCTGCAGCAGCTTCTTTAGGAAATGTTGCTCTCACTATGACCTTCAATCCATCCAAAGCTTTACAATGGGGGCTGTCATGTTCACACAGGTGACTCTGTACCCTGGTCACCAGTGATTGGTCAAAATGACCAATAACTGGAACAATCGCTGGACCCATTTTAGTTCTTCCCTGGGAACTTGGAACTGGAATTTTAATTCTTTTCTGCAGAGAGTACACATCTGCAGAGAACATGAAAAATGAAGCAAATACACCCAGAGAAGCAGAGATGAGAAACAGAGAAATTCATTGTTGAGTTCTCTATGGGCCAGTGAGGGGTGAGGGAAATCAGTGCGAGAAACAAGACCAGAAGAGGGCTCAGGCTCAACTATGTTGCATCTCAAAACAAATCCCCAGGGAAAGATTTTTTTAGCCAGTCCATGCTAGATTCTGAACTTCTGGTGACCTGCATTTCCAACTGTGGCTGCATCTCTGATTCCAGGGTGCCCTGGAGGCTCAGGTGCATTCCTGCATTTGGAGCATATGAGGTACTTCCCAGTGACCTCTAATCAATCTTTAGATGGCTTGGGCAGGTTACTACTGCTTGCAATCATTTGTACTAAAATACCTAATTTTGCAGATGAGGATATTGAGGTTTAGAGAGCTGAAGTAACTTGCCTAAGATCCCACAGCTAGCCTGAGATTTGTCCAAAGCCATCCACCTCCCAAGCCCGTGTTCTTTCCTTTATATGTATTAACAGGAACATTGGCAAAAGTCATATTAAAGAGGAATCCACAACAATTCAACATCTTTTCTCAATAAAATCTCTTAAAATTAGGAATAGAGGATTTCCTATGTAAAAAAGAAAAGCAAGAGTTAATTTCTTGGGAAGAGGAGACTTGAATTCAGGAGCCAATCTACTTTCTAGTGGGAAAAGATGACAAGTATAACCCTAGGAACCCGAGTCTGCTGTCATCCCTAAAGCTATTAAAGCCTCATTGTGGTTTGTGTGGCAGCATACCCCAGAGAGAAGGAAAGAGAATATCCTGTGCATTCATAGAAACACTGGGGGGAACCACAAGCTCTCAGTGATGACACACAGCAGGGAATCCAACCAAAATACCAGTTCATCCTGCATACATGTGCTGTACAACTCCAACCTCACTCAAAATAATTTCCAAAAAATCTTTTTAATCTGTAGAATGAAAGCTCCCAAACAAGAAAAAGGTAATGGAACGTAAATCACCCAGGATGGACATGCTGGGCCCAAGCGTATACTGAAGAGAGGACAGTTTCACAAGGTGAATTCCCAGAGAACGTGGGGTAAAGAGTAAGGGAGGTGATGCTCACCTGTGGGAGCATCAGACTGAAACCCACAAGGCCACCCTCTCCACCCAAGAGAGGCCTGCCACCTGCCACCTCCTCCACTCAGTACTCATGCTGGTATGTGCTCAGTCATCTGGCTTTCAGGAGACACTCAATACAAGTCGGGTGTTGTAGGATTTCAGAATGAAAAAGAAATCAAGAAGCAGTTGTAAACACCAACAGGACCTGTTCAGGCAGAGAATTAGAAACAATTTGCCCTAGGGGCAGCATTTTTTGTGCCAAAGTCAGCATGGGTCTTATGGGAGTGGGGAGGATGGACCTCTAAACTATGCCCTTGGAAAGGCTCAGGAAGGATGTCCTCAGGTGGTGAGAGCAGGCATTGGCGCTTGAAGGAAGAAGGAGATTAGCAGACTGGTCCTCCTTCCAGGCACCTCTGCTCCCTCTGGCCCCCTTCCACGGACCCTGCCCAACAACACATACACATTCAGCTCCTCTTCTTCCTTGGGCTCTCCCATTCCCATCACCATGTTTCTCAAGGGCAGGTCCTCCTGCCAGAGCAGGAATTCAGGGCCTCCAGCTAGCTCCAAATGCCCATGACCAGATTCTACTGAACCTCCAGCTGTATTACCCACAACTCCCTACCACGTGCTCTCTGCTTCACCTGGTTTTTGCTCCTCCCAGGAGACCTGATTCCGTGGTTCCTTGGCTGGGCAAACCGTGTCTGTCCTGTTTCACCCTAGACATCTATGCATCCAGATCAGACTCATCTTTCCAAGGCAAGCACAAATGATCCCGTTGGGGGAAGATCGTCCCTATTCCTCTGAGGACAGGAGTCCATGTTGATCTGTCCTCTGGTTTGAGGTACTCAAACTTAGTTCTTCCTCCACCTGTAGATGGAAGAGAGAAGGAGGAAAGCCAAAAAGTGAGCACCTAGAGGGTAGAAACTCCAACAGAAGCAACTAAAAACTTTTGTACTACCCAGGAGTGTTTGTAAGGTGATTGAATATTTATTAAATATGAAAACAAATGTAACAGAAAATATACAGGGAAATATTTCCTTTACAAAAGCAACAAAGAAAAAAATAGAAAATGGGAGTAAACAAGACATGTTCGGGACCTAGATGAAGAGCAAGAAGGCTCCAATGAATGAAGAGATGAATGATATTCCTGGATTAAAATACTAAATATTACAAAGATATCAATTCTCCCCAAAGTTTTATTTACATTTAATGCAATCTCATTTAATTAATCTCTTTTGTTAAATTTAAAACTTAACAAAATGGGTAAGAATGTTCATGTACAATACTGGCTGAGACATTTTTTAAAGTAGAATAATACTAAAAATTAGGGACAGGTGGTGGTGGGATGAATTGGGAGATCAGTATTGACATATATACACTAATATGTATAAAATAGATAACTAGTAAAAAAAATAAAGAAAAAAAAATTAGGGACTTCCCTGGTGGCGCAGTGGATAAAACTCCGCGCTCCCAAAGCAGGGAGCCTGGGTTTGATCCCTGTTAAGGGAACTAGATCCCACAGGCATGCCGCAACTAAGAGTTCACACGCCACGGCTAAGGAGCCTGCCTGCTGCAACTAAAGAGTGTGTGTGCTGCAACTAAGACCTGGTGCAACCAAAAAAAAAAAAATACTGCCACAATAATAAATGTCACAATAAATAATATAATGAATCACACAAAAATTAAATCTGTGGCACAGAAATAGATCAATTTACTAGAAAGCTCAAACACTAAACAAAAATACTACATGAAATTTTTAAATTTTGCAACTCAAAAACATTTATTATATGAGGAGCTCTTACAAATCAATTAGAAAAAACACACCCTGAAAAGAATAAGGGGCAAGAAGATGACTAAGCAATACAGAAAAGAAAAAAAATACAAATAGCTTGTAAACATAAAAATTAGCCAATCTCACAAGTAATCAAAGAAAAATTCAGTAAAAATAAGGTACATGTTTACTATTATTTATCAAAGTTTAAAACATGGTAATAGATTCCACTGAAAAGGGTTGAGGACGTGTGTTTGGATCAGCCTTTTGGGGTGGCAGGGCAATTAGACAAATGTATAGAAGTTTTAAGTAAGCACATTCAATCCACGAATTGCACTTCTAGGAATCTATCTTCTGAAAGTAATGTGTAGCAATAGCTATATATGAATAGTCAAAGATGTTCAGCCTGATATTACCTATAGCATAAAATATTTGAGGCAACTTCAATATCTACCAATAGTGGGTTATATTTTAAAAATTATTATATACACATAGGATAAAATACCATGCAGCCATTAAAAATAAGGGCGTAAGAGAATACACAATAATGCCAGAAAATGGTCACATGGCATTAAGTGAAAACAAGCTGTAAAATCCACTCTTCTGACAAATATTTATTGAGCGACTCCCAGGTGCTACTGAACAGCAATGAACAAGATAACGTTCCTACTCTCATGAAAGCTTCCGTTCCATTATAAAATTTATAAACCAGACTCTAAGTATGGTTCCAACTAAAAAAAAAAAGGAAGATGTGGTTTATAACCACATCTCCCTTTATATAAGGGAGTCAAAAAAGACACAAAATGATGTGTCAAGAGAGAAAGCTTGGGATTGAGGGTGGTTTTTGTACTCTTTTGGGTACTTTTCTGAGTTTTCCAAATTGTCTGTCATGAACATATATTACATTTGTAGCCAGAATGAAAATCAAAAAATGTCATCTCTTTTCAAAGAATGTGAGTGGGACCTATGCAGGCAGTGGCTGTAGAGAAGACAGGCTGGGTAGGCGTGGGCTGGCTGCTCTGGGGATGGACTGAGGGGATGCAGGGGAAGGACTGCACTAGCGGAAGTGGGTGTGGGCTCCAGATAACGCAGGGTGAACAGTGGGAGGAAAGAAAAGTCCAGGCAAAGGAACATCTTATAAGTGTTTATCTAATATCCTCCCCCACAAAATCACATTGATCCTGATTACGGTGTCTTTCCCATGAGTCAGTGTCCTCACATGCCCAGGCATGGCTGAGGCCCAAGCCTCCCCTGAGGACAGAGAGGTTGCTCACTGATTTGACTCAATCCTTCCTAACCTGGCTTTTTCCTTTTTGAATCTCTCCTGCCTTTTTGGAAACTGGGCTTCAGAGTTGATCACTCATTTGATCACTTGTTCACTTTCATTTACTAAATGTTGTCACTTTTGGGCTCCTTCTAGTGTCCAGGCAATGGTGGCCAAGATTCTTGCCCACACCCTCAGCTGTTATAGATGTCCCCCCTGTCATTCCCGTGACAATCAATCCAGCCACGTCCAAGTCAAGTCTCTCTTCCCAAGAGACCTGAGGTCCCAGAGTCAGCCATGGGTAGATCTTGCCCCTGGGAATTAGAGTGATGGTCTTTGCATGCTGACCATCCCTCAGGTGGTTTCTTTCACTGGTGTGAATGAAGCTCTGCGGTGGAGTTTGGTATTTCCTCTTTGCAGCATGAGCTAAGAAACAAAGCTCAGAAGGAGGTTAATACTTCAAAACATTAACATGGCACATGCGATAGCTTAGACTAGCTTATAGGGCTTCTGCCAGGCCAGGTACCACCATCATCTTAGGGCAGCCTCCAGGATGACCTGGACTTTTAGGACCCTGTTCCTGCCCTCCCCTTCCAGTCAATAACTTCTGCGACCCCAGTTCTCCCCTTTCATCGCCCTTACCCTTATACATCCCACACAAACAGGGTCTCATGACTTTCCAGCACTCATGCTGTTCTTCCCACCATGCTGGCCATTGGACCTCAACTGTCCCTCATCCTTCACTTTCATTTCTGTCCAACCCCAGCTGCACTGCTGCCCACCCCTCCCAACTCCCTATCAGTCATTTTTGTCAGAACCCAGGACTTTCCTCCTGTGCTGATGCCACAGTAAATAGGGTTAGTCCTTTACTTCACTCTGCTCACCCCTGTGCAAGCCTGGTGTGTTGAGAGGAGGTGGATGTGGGTAGTCACAATATCGTAGGCTGCATGCTGTAACACCAAGTGGTCTGAGGGGCAAAGAGGGCCTCCTAGCCCAGGGCTGCTCTGAGTCCAAGTTCATCCCAGAACAGAGAAGAAAATGACTGTCCTGTGGTCAGGCTGCTCCCCTTGGACCACAACTCCATGGACCACATGGGCACTGAATCCAGCCACGATGACCTAAGTTTTACTTGATTTCATGACCCTCCCAGATGTCATACCTTTTTTCTTCCCCATTGACAGCCAAGCTCCTTGAAAGAGTCATCTATATTCACTATTCCACTTCCTCACCCCATAGTCTGTCCCTGAGGTGTCACTTGTCAAGGTCGTTGATGAGCACCATGTTGTATCCACATCTTTGTTCTCATCTTGCTTTTTTGCTCAGCAGCTTTCAACTCAGCTGAAGGAAAACATTCTCCTGAATATTTTCCTCTCTTAAGTCCACGATTACACATTCCCCAGGCTTTCCTTCTATCTCACTGGCTGCTCCTTTGTTCTCCCTTTGCTGGCTTCTCTTTAGAAGAGTCCTTCCTCGAAATGTTGGCATGCCCCAGGGATGAATTCTCAGATTTGCATTTAAACTCCTCAGGTATCCTCTTCTAGGCTCATGCTGTAAGTACTATCTATACACCAATGACAAGTGTTTATTTCCCACTCTGACCTCTCTCCTGAGCTTCGGACTCCTACATCCAGCTTTCCCCTTGGTAGTTCCTGTTGTACATCTAAGTGGCATCTCTAATGAACCATGGCTCTGTGGACCTTAGGGCTGCTTTCCCAGCATCCATTCTGTTCCTCCCCCTTTTGTAAGCTGATATTCCTGTCCACACCTCCAGGGATGGTCTCTGATTGGTGAAGACAATTAATATAACCCCATTCCCATTTGCCACAGTGATTGGTGATCTAAATTGATCCAATCAAATTGAACAAAAGTTTAGAAATTGTGTTTAATGGTTAGGCAGTAGAAGCTTCTTCTTCTGATGGGTGTTGAGACTGAAACAATACAGTCATTTTATCCCAATGAGGGAAGCCAGATTGAGGACAAAGCCAGATTAAGGATCCATGGATCAAAACATGCTTGAATTCTGGACTTTTCAGTTATTAGAGTCAATACGTTCCACTTGATATTTAGGCCAGTTTGACTTGTACTTTCTGTTACTCTCCAATTGGAGCCTCATGACCAAATGAGAGTAAACACAGAACTCTCATGTTCCTACCACCCTATCAACCTACTTTTCTGTGGTCTTCCCCATTTCAGTTCATGGCACCCCAATCCATTCAATGGTTCAGCCCAAATCTTCCAACTCATCCCTGACTCCGTTTATACTCTCACACCCTGTGTCTTGTCTGTCAGCAACTCTTTCAGTTCTGCTTTCAAAATATATGGAGAATCCATTCTCTCCTACTCTTGTCCCACTGCTGTCCACTCTCTCACAGCAGCCAGATGAATCTTTAAAAAACCTAAAATTAGATTACATCATTAGCCTGCTTTAAAATCCTCCAACTTGGAATAGAATTCAGAGTCCTTACCAGGCCTAACGACTGTATGGGATCTAGCCCTGCCTACCTTATTGACTCATCCCCTTCCACTGCCCCCTCCCCAACTACACTGGTTTCCTCTTCCTCAAAGTCTCCCTGTACTCCCATGGAAGGCCTTGGCACTGCTCTTCTATATCCCCACTTCTTCCTGTGGTTGCTTCTCTCTTGTCACTCAGGTGTGGACTCAGATGTCCCCTCCTCAGGAGGCCTTGCTTGAAGACACCACCTCATGATGCTCACCCAGTCAAACTCTATCACCGTGCCTTGTTTTATTTTATTAATGACACTTGTCACTGTCTGAAATTGTCTTTTTTTGTGCATGTGTTCACTT